CTATTTAGCAGCTAGGTAAGTAGTAAAGGGATGTTAGTATTGTCCTAGGTATCTCTAGTAGAAGAGATCCTAGATACTAGACTTTAGTTTGCATTTGTTGCAGCTTTCCAGCTGTCCAGCCTATGCTCATCCTTATGGCTGCTGTGTGGCTGGCTAGTGGATGCTCCGCATCTATGGTGTGTAGATGGGTTGCAAAGCGGAGTTTGGCTTCTTTAAGCGCAGTGGCAGCTGAGGGTAGTCTGGCGTCTTAGAAGAGAGTAGCAGTAGGGGTTGTTCGCTACACTAGGAGGATGCCTCTCGCTGCTATAGCTAGTGTTTTGTCCATGACAGCTATGTGCCACCTAACATAGGTGCTGACTTCGGCTGGTCTGCCTGGTTTGAGTGTGCGTGGAGGTTTAGTACGGCCTCTGTACCAGCACTCAGCCCTATACAGAAGGGACGGGTACACGCAGGCCAGGGTGGCCTTGCGGAGGGAGCTGGCTGGTGGCCCGTAGGCCGTGTTTGCTAGGCTGTGGATGTGATAGGCTACCTTGGCTGCTTTTGCGTTGTGTGTGGCTACATGTTGCTTGAAGGTAAGTTTGTTGTTAAACTAGATCCCTAGCTATTAGAGAGCTGGCTAGGTTCTTAACCTACTTAGTAAGATTAGGTTAATTGTAAGCTAATTGTCTACTACACAGGGTGGCGTGTAGCTACTCTTCTGTTAAGTGAGGTGAATTATTTCCTGTTTTTTAGGCGCAAAGGTGACTATGTTAGCTGTACCCTATGCTCTAATCTATTGTAGGTCTGCTGCTAGGAGCTTAATATTCTTATCTAGGGAGTGTGAGGCCTAATACAAGTATATATTATCTGCGTATCTGAATCTTCTTTTTGTGTCTGCAGACAGCAGCTCTGCCAGGTACAGTGTGTACAGGACTAGGGAGAGTGGTGATCCCTGCAGTGTGCTGCAGGCGACTAGGTAGCTAGGGGTAGTGGCTTAGCCTAGGCAGACTTAGACCCTTTAATTAGTAAGGAAAGAGTTAACAAAGAGGATAGTCCTTTACAGCTAGCCCTGTTTAGCTATCTAGTGCAGCAGGTAGTTCTTAAGGAGAGTGTTAAAGGCGCCTTGCACATCTAAGGTGACCATTATGACATGCTAGCCTTTTGCCCACGCAGCTTTAGTATTGTGGGTGAATGCTGTAGTAAGATCTACAGTAGAGCGTTTTAGGAGGGCGCCTCTATGTTAGGGGCTAAGGATCTTGTAGGTTATAGCAGTCTACGCAATTCTTCTGGCCACTGTTTGTTTGAGACCCTTTCTAATGCAGGAGAGGAGTGCTATGGGCCTCCAGGATTAAGGTGAGGTCCTGTCCTTCTTCCCTACCTTAGGGATTATGGCTACTTCTGCCAGCTTCTATTGCGCAGGGAAGTGGTTGAGTTTAAGGCACTGCTAGAAGATCTGTTGTATAAGTTCCCTAATTTGGGCCTAGCAGGTGCGGAGCAGTCGCACTGTAGAGCGGTCTGTGCCTAGGGAGGTGCTGGTGACCCCTATTGTGTTTTGCTTAGACTCCTCTAGTGAGATATGTGTACTCCATAGGAGAGGGGCCGCAGTTTCCTTATCTAGGTAGTGGCTGAGATTGTTATCTGCTGTGTATTAATTAAGGACTTCCTGTCTAAGTGCCTTAGCCTTCTCTAGGGGGTTAGATATTGTCCTGTTGTTAATATTAAGCAGAGTGTCCTAGTTCTCTAGTGTAAGCTTATGCTAGGTAATAACCTTAAACAGGTCCTTGTTGTCCTTAGCAGTGTTAATAACATGCCTCTAGTATTGCCTTTTAGCCTGTCTAACTATAGTCTTAAAGGCTTGTATTTCTTCTAGCAGAGGTCTGCCTAAGCAGGTCTGTCGAGCGCGTTTGTGGGCTTGGTAGGCAGTCTTGCACTCCTTAGTCCACCAAGGCGCAGCACGTCCTTCCTTGCGATCAAGCTTGCCCGCTGTTTGTATAGAGTGCTGCACAGTCTCTGTCAGCAGTGCAACACAGTCGTCTAGTTGTGCCGCATCCTGTGCCGCACGCGGATCTGGGATGCTCTAGACGCCAATTTCCACTAGCCCAGTGAACTTTGGTAGGCTTGCCTCTGGAACTCTGTAGTGGTGCTAGTCTAGGTGCGGAGTACTGAGTGTGGAAGTAGAGACAGAGGTTACTATTGTCTCGTGGTCTGACCTGCAATGCATGCTAGCATCAACAGCAGACTGGGCAAATGGGATGTTAGAGAAAGTAAGGTCAAGGACATGGCCAGCGCAGTGTGTTGGCTGCCCCGGCACACCAATGTAGTCCATAGAGGCGTTAGCAGCCCACCTGGCGAGCTCTATGCCGCCGCTGGCTGCGGAAACAGAGGGCTCAAAGGATTTGTGTCTGACGTTAAAGTCCCCTCCTACAACGCAGTGTTGGGGGGGCGTAAGGTGCGTAACGTATTAGAGTACGTCAGGGGTAAGTGGCTGTCTGTAGCAGTTAAGTATCAAGACTCTGTTCACAACAGCCTACAGCAGGTCTAGGTGATTAAGGCTTTGTCTAGCCTAGAGCTTTAAGTGGTATCCTTTGCAGATGTAGGTTATTACCTAAGGGCAGGTTGCGCCTAGTGCGTTAGGAGCGTCCTAGGTACTAATAGGTGTAAGGTGTCTAAAGCCTAGGTAGGTAGAGGTCCTTAAGTTGGCACAGGTGAAAGGCTCTTGGACGCATACAACATCTATGTCCTTCTGAAAGGCTGCTTCTAGGATTGTAATGTGGCAGGGTGAGCTCCTGCCAACGTTGGCCTAGCATATGCGGAGCTGGTCTCCCTGCTGGCCAGGCCGTTGTTGCCTGTTGCAGGCGGAGGGTGTGTGTTGGTGTCCTAACATGTAGATAGTGACTGATTGCTTATGCTAATGTCCTCCCTCTTAGAGGTTAAGGGATTAGTGTAGATAGTTAGTTGTGGGAGCAGACTGTTGGCTGACATGTCCCTTATATTCAGGTTTGTACGGCCTGCAGCGGCCTGTCTTGGTCTCTTTTCTCTACTAGTGGTGGGCAAGGATGCTTAAGAGGCGCTGCTTGTTCCAGTTGGAGCTGCCCTGCTATCCTCTTCTAGTGCCCGCCCCCGTGGAGGAGGGTGGGGGGCCGCTATCTCCTGCGCGGCCTCTAGGGGGGTATCTTCATGCTGAGGCGTTGCCTGATTAAGGGTCTCCTCATGCTGTGGCGTTGCCTGGTTAAGCGTCTCTTCTACTGTCCTGTAGAGGTGCTGGTATGTTGCTCTGCCTGCGCGACAGATAGCGTTTAGTTTAGTCTTGGTGGGCTTAATTATGTGTCCATGCACCTAGTGAGGGGCAGCAGGGCAGTTAGAGTGACTGGCCGGGTGTAGGCTATAGCAGTTAGTGCACTTGGCTTTATGAGGACAGTCGTCCCTATAGAGCCCTTGGTGTCTATCTGTGCAATCTCCGCAGTGCACACAGTGGGCTAGCTAAGTACAGCAGGCAGCGTTGCAGTATTGTTGGCAGCCTGGGTTGTGTTGCTATATAGTAGGGTGTTTGTAGATTTCTTTAGAGAGTTGGCTGGTGCTAAAGAGCTAGAATAAGCAGACTAGCTCCTTGTATGATATAATCTAGGTAGTCAAGCTATTCTAGTTGGCCCCGTGTTGGGAGGTTCTACAGCTAACTAGCTGCTTGCCTGTTTGCAAGCAGACCTCTTCCTTAACTAGCTAGGTAGTAGTAGGTAGTTTAGTGCTGTCTAGAGTCTAGAACAAGCTAGGTACTCCTTGTACAGCGTAGTTAATCTAGTGTTCTAGGACCCTGATTATATCTCTGCCTAGGGCTTTTACTACAAGCTCCTAGTTTTCTTAGGTTAGAAGTTAGTCTCTAATAGTTCTACTTACTAGCGTAATTGCCTAGCTAGTGTTGATTGGCGAGGCAGTGGGGATGTCTTAGAGGGTAATTCCTCCTACACTCTTGCATACTGCCTGCCTTACTGCAAAGGGTAAGGGTTGATGCAATTGCGTTGCTGGATTAGACATAGCAATAAAGATCTGATTGTCTTCTTTTGGCTTAGCTGAGATAGGTGTAGTAGGAAGGCAGAGCCAGGCCTGTCCTTCTTCTTGATCTCTAAGAGTTGTGGAGTGTAAGGCCATGCTGGCTGCCTTGTTTGCGTGTTGTGTCAGGTCAAGGACCCTGACAGTCAGTCTTCAGAAAGCTGCAAGCAGCTCTTGTCGTTGTGGGTGTGGAGAGCTAGTGCTCTGTCAAGTTGTGCCGTAGCTCTTCGCGTGGAGAGCCTTGCAGTAGGCCTAGCGATGCCCTTATACTGCAAGAACAAGGAGTGACAAGGCTGTCTCCTTGTCTTGTTGGTAGTTGTGGCCTTCAACTGAACGTGAAAATCTAGGTAGCGCACAGGCTATTTTAAAAAGATTTCAGCTTAGCAAAGAACTGAAAGACAAAAGAGGGCAGTGCGCCTGCCACAACGCCTGCAGCAGAAAGCAGATGTTAGGAAACAGATTTACAAAGGCATTTGAGTTGTGTTTTGACAAAAAATCAATGAAAATCGACCTTTTGCTGACCTGGAAAAGTTGATGTTCAGGGCTGGCTGGAGAGGTTGGTTGGTTGGTTGGTTGGTATTCATTTTACGTCTGGTTGATGGAGATTAAGTCTGCCATCTTGCCTCCCAAAGGGCATATACAACGTGCTAAGCTATGGAATTACAGTGCTGACACACTACCTTAGAAAGCATTTCTTGCGTACGCGGGTATTGCTACCATTTCAGAACTACAGCTCCCCGTCCAGTTGGGGAGACTGAGCAGTGTGTGTACATTAGGGTGAATCCCTTGTGTGTGTTCAAAGGCAGTGAAGTGCCAAGAGAGGGAGTAGGAAAGAGAGGGTGGGTGTAGAGAGCCGGTGCTCTGTTGAGTTGAAGCCGTGGCTCTGCGCAAGGAGAGCCTTTGTGCCAGGCTTGGCTATGCCTGTGTCGAAGGAGATAGGTGTAGTAGGAAGGCAGACCTAGGCCTGTCCTTCTTCTTTATCTCTTAGAAGTTGTGAAACAGAAGGCCATGCTGGCCGCCTTGTTTGCGTGTTGAGAGCCGGTGCTCTGTCGAATTGTGCCGTAGCTCTTTGCGTGGAGAGCCTTTGTGTTTAGGCCTGGCAGGTGCCCATATCTTGCAAGAATGAGGAGTGGCAAGACTGTCTCCTTGTCTTAGCGGTGGTTGTGGCCTTCAACCGAACGTGAAAATCTGAGTAGCGCACGGGCCATTTTGAAAAGATTTCAGCTCAGCAAAGAGCTAAAAGACAAAAGATGGCAGCGCGCCTGCCACAACGCCTGCAGCGGAGAGAGGACGTTGGAAAACAGATTTAAGAAGGCATTTGAGTGGCTGGAGAGGTTGGTTGGTTGGTTGGTATTCATTTTACGTCTAGATAATAGGGATAAAGTCCACTATCTCGCCTCCCGAAGGGCATATACGACGTGCTGAGCTATGGGATTACAGTGCTAACACACTACCTTAGAAAGCATTTCTTGCCTGCGTAGGTATTGCTACTGTTTTAAGCTACAGCTCCCCTGCCAGTTGGGGAGACTAAGCAGTGTAGATACATTAGGGTGAATCCCTTTTGTGTGTTTAAAGGCAGTGGAATGCCGTAAGAGTAGAAGAGAGAGGGAGAGTAAGAAGGAGAGTGAGGAAAGAGTACGGTTGTTTGCTGCTGTCGCAGCACAGGGTAAGCTACTAGGGGCAGACCTTAGTGTAGTATTAAGTGAGTTGGGTGAAGGCTTCAAAGGCCTCTAGATCCCTAATAAGCACACTAGTATATGCTACACCTTTGCTACGGCTGGATGGTGGTATAGGTAGTTAGAGTGGCTATTGGCTGAAGGACCCTTAGGTCTTGCAGCAGAGTATAAGGTGCTCTAGTGTCTTGTTGCGCCTGCATAAGCAGGTAAGTGTTGCGTTGTTGTGTTTGTACTTTTAGTAGTACTAGGCAAAGTTGCTATGTATAGATTAGATTAAGAGCAGTCTAGCTAGGGTGGCTCTTAGTAGGTCTAGTTTAGGTAGTCTGCTGCGTGGTGTATAGTTAAGATCCTAGCTCTTATACTATTTTAAGAGCTTAGTCTTCTTGTTAGACCACCATGTTTGTTGCGTGTGCTGTAGTATCTTGCGGGCTATTGTCTTGATGCCTGAGAGTGTAGGCATAGCCGCTATTCCAGTCGGGGGTGATGGGTGCTGGGCTTCTAGGTTGGCAAGTCTGTCTGCTGCTTCGTTTCCTTCAATGCCTAGGTGCCCAGGGGCCCATTTGATTGAGACGTCGTGTGTCTCCATGGCACTGTGGCACTCCAGGAAGGCCCACTGTGAGGTAGGGGGTGCGTCGCCCCTAAGGCACCATATGACTGAGGTGCTGTCTATGCATAGCCAGATTCGGCGCGTGCGGAGCGCTGGTTGTCTGATAGTGTGCTGGAGGCCTTTCCACGCTCCAGTTGCCTCAGCGTCAAAGACGTGCGAGGTAGAGTGGAGTAAACCACGTCCAGTCTGCAGTTGCTTTCTATTCTAATACACAGCAAAGCCATAGGTGACCTGCTTTTCTCCTTCCTTTGTGTACTATTTAGAGCCATCTAAGAAGATAGTAACGTCTAAAGGTAGAAGGTTAGCCTACTATTCTTAGAAAGCCTTTACTGCAGACTTTTTATCTAAGCCTATAGTACATCGGGAAAAGTTTTTCGAAATCCGGCCTAGACCGGCCGTTGCTGACAGTCGTGGCATGGTCGTGCAACGGCCGTTCAACGGCCCCAACGGCCCCAATTTGCGCCCAACGGCCCTAATTTCGCGCCAACATTGCTAACAGCCAAAACGCTGAGTGCCTATATTTAACAAACTTAAAACGACATTGCAACGTTATTGCATGGCTACCCTTAGTGCTAGCACTAGCATTAAATATTCAAAAATTGCGAAATTTCACGTACAGATAGAGCGAAATTGTAGCTTCAAAATGAGCGAAAAATTATTGTTGTAGGCCTACTATAACGCGAGTTATAGAGCGTTGAAGGTTTGTTTGTTGAAGGTTAGTGTTTTGAAGTTGCGACAGCACACCATAGCAGCTGCAGCTGCGCCCGCACACAACGTTGCAGCTGCAACAGCATACAGCATAGCACCTGCTGACCAGCACACACACTCACACACACACACACACAGCAGCAGCGCAACAGGAGCTTGCAGAACAGGCAGGCCTAGGCGTAGAATTGTTGGTTTACCTACTATTCTTGAATAATATTCTTATATTTTCTAACATTCAGGCTGCTAGAGCCCTAGCGAAGAATCTTAACTTAGTGTCTTGGCAAGGAACATCAAGCTTAAAACCTTCTACGCTTAATAACTATTCTATTAGTAGGCCTATAATGTTATTTAATAGCTTATTTTAAAGAGGAGACTTAGTAGTATATTAATATAATAAAAGTATAGTTTATTAAGCAGAGCTACTATTATAGCAGGATTAGGAGTTGTTGTGGCTATTGCAGCTGTTAGGACTGTTGGAGCCGTTGGCTCAAAATTGGCTGGACATTGAATGCACATTGAATGGCTGTTGTAGGCCTACAAGTCCTACTGTTGCCCACAGTACAATGCCACGATTTCCCGATTTCGACAACGGAAAAACTTTTCCCGATGTAGGGTCTGTGCAACAGCTAGGTGAGTAGTAAGGGGCTGATAGTGTTGTCCTAGGTATCTCAGGCAGAAGAGATCCTAGATACTAGACCTTAGTCCGCATTCGCTGCAGCTTTCCAGCTGACCTGCCTATGCTCATCCTTATAGCTACTGTGCGGCTGGCAAGTGGATGTTCTGCATCTACCGTGCGTAGATGTGTTGCAAAGCAGAGTTTGGCTTCTTCCAGTGCAGTGGCAGCAGAGGGTAGTCCAGCGTCTCGGAAGAGAGTAGCAATAGGGGTTGTTCGCCACACCGGGAGGATCCCTCTTGCTGCTATAGCCAGTGTTTTGTCCATAACCGCTATGTGCCACCCAACATAGGCACTGACTTCTGCTGGTCTTCCAGGTTTGAGTGTACGTGGAGGTTTAGTACGGCCTCTGTACCAGCACTCAGCCCCATACAGAAGAGACAGGTATACGCAGGCGAGGGTAGCCTTGCGAAGGGAGCTAGCTGGTGGTCCGTAGGCTGTGTTTGCTAGGCTGTGGATATGGTAGGCTACCTTGGCCGCTTTTGCATTGTGCGTGGCTACATGCCGCTTAAAGGTGAGTTTGCAGTTAAACCAGATCCCTAGCTATTAGAGGGCTGGCTAGGTTCTTAACGTGTTTAGCAAGATTAGATTAATTGTGTAATGCTTGTCTATCACACAGGGGGGTGCGTAGCTACTCTTCTATTAAGTAAGGTGGATCATTTCTTGTTTTTCTAGGGCAAAGGTGACCTTGTTAGCTGTGCCCTATGCTCTAATCTGTTGTAGGTCTGCTGCTAGGAGCTCTACGTTCTTATCTAGGGATTGTGAGGCTTGGTATAAGCATATGTCATCTGCGTATCTAAATCTCTTCTTTGTGTCTATAGACAGCAGCTCTGCCAGATACAGTGTGTACAGGATTAGGGAGAGGGGTGAGCCCTGCAGCGTGCCGCAGGCGACTAGGCGGCTAGGGGTAGTAGCTTAGCCTAGGCGTACTTGGACCCTTTAATTAGTAAGGAAAGAGTTAACAAAGAGGATAGTCCTTTGTAGCTAGCCCTGTTAGGCTATCTAGTGCAGAAGGCAGTTCTTAAGGAGAGCGTTAAAGGCGCCTTGCACATCTAATGTTACTATTGTGACGTGCTAGCCTTTAGCCCACGCAGCTTCTGTGTTATGAGTAAATGCTGCAGTAAGATCTACAGCAGAGCGCTTTAGGAGGGCGCCTCTATGTTAGGGGCTAAGGATCTTGTAGGTTATGGCAGTCCACGCTATTCTTCTGGCCACTGTCCTTTCAAGTCCTTTTCTAATGCAGGAGAGGAGTGCTATAGGTCTCTAGGATTAGGGTGACGTCTGGTCTTTCTTTCCTGCCTTGGGTATTATGGCTACCTCTGCGAGCTTCTACTAGCCTAGGAAGTAGTTTAGTTAAAGGCATTGCTAAAAGATCTATCGTATAAGTTCCCTAACCTGGGCCCAGCAGGCGCGGAGCAGTCGCACTGTAGAGTGGTCAGTTCCTGGCGATGTGCTGGAGACCCCTATTGTATTTCGCTCAGCTTCCTCTAGTGAGATGTGTGTGCTCCAAGGGAGAGACGCTCTTGCTTCCTGCTCTGGTTGGTGGCTGAGGTCGTCTTCTGCTGTGTAGCGGTTGAGGATTTCCTCTCGGAGTGCCTCTGCCTTCTCTAGGGGGTCAGATATTGTTTTGCTGTCTATTATAAGAGGGGTGTCCTAGTAGTTTAGTGTAAGCTTGTGCTAGGCAATCACCTTAAACAGATCCTTGCTATCCTTAGCATTATTAATAATATATCTCTAGTATTGCCTTTTAGCCTGTTAGACTGTTGTCTTAAAGGCTTGTGTTTCCTCTAGTAGGGCGCTGCTGCAGCAGTGTTGTCTGGCGTGTTTGTAGGCTTAGTAGGCTGTCTTGCACTCCTTGGTCCACCACAGTGCGGCGCGTCCTTGCTTGCGATCTAGCTTGCCTGCTGTCTGTATAGAGTGCTAGAATGCCTCTGTCAGCAGCACAACGCATCTGTCAAGCTGTGCTGCGTTATAAGCCCTGAGCAGGTCTGGGATGTTCTAGACGCCTATCTCAACAAGCCCTGTGAACTTAGGTAGGCCTGCTTCTGCGACTCAGTAGTGGTGCTAATCTAGGTGCTGCATGTCCCTTGTAGAGGTAGGGACATAGGTTACTATTGTCTCGTGGTCTGATCCGCTGTGCATGCTCGCATCTACTCGGGACTGTGCGAATGGGACATTGGAGAAGGTAAGGTCAATGACCTGGCCAGCTTGGTGTGTTGGCTGTCCTGGGATGCCGATGTAGTCCATAGAGGCAGCAGCAGCCCATCTAGCTAGCTCGGCACCCCCGTTGGCTGCGCTGGCGGTAGGATTGAAGGACTCATGCTTAGCGTTGAAGTCACCCCCTATGAGGCATTGTTGAGGAGGTGCAAGATGCGTAACGTATTGGATTACGCTAGGGGTGTATAGCTGTCTGTAACAGTTAAGGATTAAGACACTGTTTACAACAGCCCACAGCAGATCTAGGTGATTAAGGCTTTCTCTAGCCTAGAGTTTCAGGTGGTGCCCTTTGCGTATATAGGTCATCACCCTAGGGCAGACTAAGCC